CCCGGCTAATTTTTTGTATTTTTAGTAGAGACGGTGTTTCACCGTGGTCTCGATCTCCTGACCTTGTGATCCGCCCGCCTCGGCCTCCCAAAGTGCTAGGATTACAGGCGTGAGCCACCGCGCCTGGCCAAAAAAATTTTTTTAAATAGCCAGCCACAGTGGTGCACATCTGTAGTCCCAGCTATTCAAAAGGCTGAGGCAGGAGGATCCCTTGAGCCCAGGAATTTGAGGCAGTAGTGAGCTATGATTGTACCACTGCACTCCAAAGCAAGACCCACATCTCTTTAAAAAAAAAAAAAGTACTCTCTTTTCTCCCTTTTGTCTAGCTTCTTCCATTTGGCATAATGCATTTGAGATTCATCCGTGCTGTTGCATGTATCATTAGCTCATTTCTTTTTATTGTTGAGTAGTATTCCATTGTACAGAGGTACCACACAATTTGTTTTTCTATGTTCTCTGTTAACCTGTTGATAGAGATCTAGGTTTTCAGTTTTTGCCTTTTCGTTATCCTAAATTTTTTAAGGTCCAATGCAGAATGACTATAAAGCTATATATTTAATATCCTAGTATACCAACTGGTTCTAAATATCAGTTGTAAAGATGTATATGCTAAAGATGTAAGTAAACAGATATATAAAGGATAAATTACCATGATGCTTTTTATGCAATTTTTTCTTACCTTTTCATGGACTACACTGTCCAGGTAAGGGTAAACACGAAAAGCTCCCCGAATTCTCTTCACACCTGGATACAACAATGGGACCATATTAACATAAGCCACACCATGAAACGAAAGCTGACCTTCTTCATCAGTCTAAAGGAATAAAACGAGAGAGTTATTAGTGCTATAAGCAATATAAGGTATGGAGCTCTGACTCAGCAGTTCAAAGGCCTGGTTTTAGAAACTAACTCTACTACTTAGCCAGTTACGTGACTTTGGATCAGTTACATAAGACATTTTGGGCCTTCTTTATCATCAAAATGGGTTCAATAATACCATGATCACTGAGAAAATGCATATAAACAGTGTTAATAGTAAAGGCAGTAGTTGCATCAATACAAACTCAAATTAATTGATAATATATATATTCAACCAAAAAGTCAATTTCACCATGTGGCTTCCTAGGAGAAAGTGAAGCTTTATAAAAAACAACAACAATAACAATAACAAAAAACTTAAAAGGAATCAGAAGCTATGGCTTTTAGCTTTAGTTCACAGACTCATACAAATAAAAGGGACCTTACAAATTATCTGGACCAGTGATGACAAATAGGCTTTAACTTATATCTAAATTCTCATTAATTGGTGGAGGTGTTTTAGCATAGTTGGTTGAGAAAAATTATCTGCATTTATCTTGGTTCAAAAGGAAAGAGTGCTTTGATTGATCAGCATTATCCACCATGGATGAAGGCGGATGAATGACAGTCTCCTGTCATGTATTTACCATACTTGATTTCATCTAAACTTTCATTGCAAAGATGAAGAACATGTTAATAAATATATTTTAACAGCGTTTTTTAATGGTTGTATGGTTTGCCACAGAAAATTTTTATAGGGAAAAAAATCAATTTTGTGAAAGAAAATAAATTCCAAGCATAAAAGTAACCTCTTTGATTTCACCTATTATAATAATTGGCAACTAGATTAAAAAGTCCTATGCTCGGCTGGGCGCAGTGGCTCACGCCTGTAATCCCAGCACTTTGGGAGACTGAGGCAGGTGGATCATGAGGTCAGGAGTTCGAGACCAGCCTGACCAACATGGTGAAGCTCTGTCCCTGCTAAAAATACAAAAATTAGCCGGGCGTGGTGGTGTGTGCCTGTAATCGCAGCTACTCAGGAGGCTGAAGCAGGAGAATCACTTGAACCCAGGAGGCGGAGGTTGCAGTGA